TTGCTAACCCTTCTTGCTTTGCTGTCTCCAGTCATTGTGGAAGGGTAGACTAAATTTCAACTAGAAGTTAATAAAAATAAAGAGGTCATTTTGTTCCATCCAAGTTGAAATTCCTGAGCTCAGATTTCCAGGTTCACACATCTCCTGGAGATTCGTTGTCTCCAGGTTAAGAATGCTTCCCCTTCTTCTATCCCCTCCTTAGTGTGAGAATAGGGACACATAGGTGATTCTAGGCCTGCTGACGGGAATAGATGAGTGCACAAAGGCCCAGTAGCTGTGTGGATCAGGGTTATTCAAGGATGTCAGGATACCAAAGCCAGGGAGAAAAGGAGTGGAGGGATAAAATCTTGAGTGCTTCAAATTGCAGGAAGAAGATGGTAAGGTGGGGATGGTGGCCAGGGGTTCCTGGCAGGCCCTCTCACAAATAAATGTTCCTGAATGCCAGGCCAGGAAAGTCAGGCTTTCCCTTTCAGAAGCTAATGTGAGAAAGTGACAGATCTGATCTGCAGAGCAGACAGTGACTTTCAGGGAGCAAATATCAAGAGCTATTGAAAGGAGTGGAGTCTTGGTGTGTCTCTGCAGGATAATGCACTGGACCACAAGGTCAGTTTAAGCCACAAGGTTGGTGGTTCAAAACCCCTGCTGCTCCTCAGAAACCCTATACAGGGTTGCTATGAGTAGGAACTGACTCCACAGCACTTAACAACAACAACGATTCAGGGGAGTGTGGCTAGGATACTGTTATTATCCTCTTGATGAATAGAGGGAAACTGGAACTCCAGGAGGTTAACTGGCTACCCAAGTTGTATATCCAGCTAAGACTTAGGCCCAGGCAGGCTGGCACAGGAGCCCATACTACCTCTAGGAGAGTGAGGCAGGGAGTCCTGACCAGGTTAAGAGGTGAAAGGCAGAAACAGGCTGTGGTCCTTGGGATGAAAAACACTAGAGATACATTAATATAGATTCAAAGCTGGTGATGACAAAAGCTAGAATTAGCAACTGGGATGGGGAAGAGCAGTGGAAAAGGAGCACTCATGATGTCTGGCCTGGACACCTGGCTAGATGTGCTGCAGGCATTGACAAGAATAGGGGGCATGGCAGACTTAATATACCTCTGTGGGCTCACTGAGAAGGATCTTCCTATGGGACTTCAAGGGCTCACAGACACTGAGAATTCTGATTTTCTTTCTCCTCACTTCCTCCTTCCTCCTCAGGGGCCTCTGCAGGCCCTTCTCACTTTGCCCCATCTTTTTTGTCCTCCATGGCAGTCTCATCCTACCCCAGGACTCAGTGTTCCCTCATCCTTGCCCCTGAGCTCCAGTGTTATGACCTCTACCTACATGGCCTCGCAGTTGGATTGAGCTAACAAATATTTCCAATAGTACCTGCCTCATACCAGACAGTATTTAGGTGTTAATCATACAGCTTAGTTAACCCTCCCAACAGTACTTTTCAGATGGAAAAATTGAGGCATAGAAAGATAATTTAACCCTTTTTTTCCTCCCCAGACTCATCTTCCACATTTGCAGCCTACTTATGACCTTGGTCTTTCTGAACACACCATAGACTGTTTTTCCAAACATTCCTACTGGCTAATCATTCTGCCTAGAGAAACTTGCTGTGCCACAGAACCACCAGTCTTCCAAAAAGACTACAAAAAGCAGATCCCCACCACCAGAGTTAGTGATTCAGTAGAGCTAAGGTGGGGCCAAAGCATTCAGATTTCTAACAACAATATGTTATAAATGAAGTCCTGGTGTGGCGCTGTGGGTTAATGCACTGGACCGCTGAGGTCAGTTTGAACTGAAGGTCATCAGTTCAACCTCATCAACTGCTCCTCGGAAACCCTATACAGGATCGCTATGAGTCAGAACTGTCTTGACGGCACTTAACAACAACAAATTCATAGGTGATGCTGATGCAAGCAGGGACAACCTAGAACATTCTTCCCTCCTTACCTTAGCCCACTTGCCTGGTAACTCATAGATGGTGAGGTTTCCTCCAGGTTTCAGTTTCCAAGACTCCTAATCTCTGTACTGCATCACCCGAGTGTGGTCCCCAATGCTTGGCACTTCCTGCTCCCTAACACTTGTCATTCTCTGCATTCCTTGCTGGCCTTGCTTGTTGAATTGTCCCTCTTCTCTGCCAGACCATGAACTCCTTGTCTGTCTTTGCTTTTGTCTGTGTCCCCACACAGATTAATGCCTGGCTTGTGATAGGCACTCAGTAGCTGTTTGTCAAAATTATTTAAATTGTAAGAGAAGAGATCAGGGCTTGGGCATAGAGGTGAGGAAGTTCACAGCACAGAGCTGGCTGCTAATACCACAAGAACAACTGAGTATTCTGGGCAGGGCTGAGAGGACAATGCCAGAAAGGTGGCATATATGCATTCCCCAGAAGCCTGCCTCGCTTCAGGCCAGCTAAGTTAGTGTCATTGGCAGGATTGTCAAAACTCCCTGAATTATTCTAGGGGATAAGAGTGGAGAACCACTGGCAGAGATGGAGTGCCATCAGGGTAGACAGGATGCCCAAGATCAAAGCCTGGCTTTCTTCCTCTCTGCATAAAGACAATCAGTGTCTGTCTCACAGGATTGCAATGAATATTCTATGAATTAATTCTTGTAACACTGTGGAAGAAAGCCCAGTACTAGAAGTGTTTGTTAAATAAAACAGCAAGGTCCAGAGCACACATGGACTTTGTCTAATGTGGGGAAAGTTTCCAGTCACCTTGAGGCACTATTCCAGTGTAGAAATAACTTCTAATATAAAAATCTGCACAAAACCAATTCCTATGATACAGAGGTCAAGTGTATATATATATATATATTAGAGAGAGAGAGAGTGAGTCCTGGTATGGCATGGCACTGAAGGATAATGTGCTGGACTGCAAGTCAGTTTGAACTGCAAGGTCGGTGGTTCAAACCCACCAGCTACTCCTCAGAAACCCTACACAGGGTTGCTATGGGTCGGAACCAACTTGATGGC